GTAGCGTGTAAAATTGGTTTGACTTCCTTCGGATGATTGCGATAATAATTTTGATGTGGATCTCCTGCCTCACCCTGTTGCTGGATGGTGGGAAAAGGAAGTGCAACCTAATTAATCAACTCGTACCAATATGAGTCTTTTTCCTTTTGGATTATAACCAATTCGTTCCACTATTAGTTTTAACGATATTGTAATGTGCTTCCGTCAATTAAGTGAGATTAATTTGGTATAAGGGCAAATTAATCTGCCTTAATTTTGGTTGTAACATGTCATTTGATTGGATAAAAAAATTAATTTATATTGTATAACCTGGGTTTTTTTTTTTGGCAGCTTTCAATTTATATTTCATGGATCCTCTATGGATTGTTGTTTTATACTCAGGTGACCATTAAGGCCCTTGGGCCTCTTGTTATGATTAACCAATTAATTTCAAATATAGTATGTTGGTTGAATAGGCAGTAAGACATATTTTGATGCAAAGCTTGCTTCTCTCTGTCATCTGATTTGGAGCTGGGGTGGTGGGGTAGATTCCTTAACTTGACATAAGAATGAATGGGCAAAGAGAGATAACTGCTTAGAATGTTGCTATTGTAAGCTATGAAAGCTGCATTGAGTCCTGTGGGATAAATTAACTTTCCTCTTGATTCATTGATTGTATGTTGTTTTACGTCCCCTTCGAGAATTTTTCACTCATATAGAGACGTCACCATATACTGGTTAAGGGCTTCAAATTAAGACCTTTACTCAGCACTCAGGCCCATTGAGCAGTGAGGGTTCTTTGTCGTGCCAACACCTACCATGACATTTCGGGCATCGGTATTTAAGGTCTCATCTGAAGGACCCACAACTTTCACTTCAAAGTGCCGAGCGCTTGGCGAAGGAACAGTTGCTACCTATTTTTTATTGACTTAGGTCAGTTGCGGCCATGATTCAACACATGACCTTCCGATCACGGGGCGAGCGCTCTACCAACTGAGCTACCTTGACGGTAACTTTCCTCTTGAAGAAAATCCAGAGCATTATCCTTATCTGTCACATTGAGATTAATTAACACCTCTGTCTGCAAATGAAGTTTGTTTTGAAGTTAAATTAAGGTCAATTCTGAATGATGTTTACATTCTCTAAAATGTGGATTTAAGTAATGTTCATACTTTATTTAGGTAAAATACACAATGAGTTATGATTTTATTAAATTCTAAAAATAAGACAGAGATATCTTTTTTATTATTATTTTATATTCTTTCTTTTTTTTTTTAGGTCACCTGAGTTTACTCAGGTGACCTATTGCTATCTGTTTTCATCCGTCATTGTGCGTTGTCCGTCATGCGTTAACATTTAAGCATTTTCAGCTTCTTCTCTGAAACCACTGAACCAATTTCAACCAATTTTGGCATATAGCATCTATGGGGTGAAGGGGAGTTAAAATTGTGAAATTTATGGCCCCTGCCCCCTTGGGCCTGACTGGTGGGATTAAAACCATCAAAATAAAGGCAATGTTTAAAAATCTTCTTCTATACTCCTGGACATCAAGCAGCCAAACTGTAGGCATGATTGTAATCAGCATTGATCCCTCTACCAAAATTGTGGAATTCATGGCCACAGGGTTAGGGGTTCTGGTGCTAGGGTGGGGCTCTGAATATATGGTGAAAATGCATTATTTCTTTAAAAATCTTCTCCTCTGTTTCTGGGTATAAAGCAAACAAACTAAATGCATAGTTATGATGAGCAAAGCTGCCTTTTCCAAAATTGTGGATTTCATGGCCCCTGGTTCGGGGGTTCTGGTGTTAGGGCGGGGCTCTAATGATTATATAATGAAAATGCATTAATTCTTTGAAAATCTTCTCCTCTGCTCTCGGGTATTAAGCTGATGAACCATGTACATAGTTATGTTGAGCAAGTGCGTTTCTTCGAAAATTGTTAATTTTATGGCGTGGGTCAGGGGTTCTGGTGTTAGGGCAGGGCTCTAATGATTATATAATGAAAATGCATTAATTCTTTGAAAATCTTCTCCTCTGTTCTTGGGTTATTAAGCTGATGAACTAGGTGTATAGCTATGATGAGGAAGAGTTCCTCTTCCAAAATTTGAATTTCATGGCCCCTGGGTCAGGGGTACTGATGTTAAGGCAGGGCTCTATTGATTATATAATGAAAATGCATTAATTCTTGAAAATCTTCTCCTCTTCTCCTGGGTATTAAGCCGATGAATCATGTTCATAATAATGTTGAGCAAGCATGTTTCTTCCAAAATTTTGAATTTCATGGCCCCTGGGTCAGGGGTTCTGGTGTTAGGGCGAGGCTATATTGATTATATATTGAAAGTGCATTAATTCTTTGAAAATCTTCTTCTCTGCTCCTGGGTATTATGTTGATGATCTAAGTACATAGTTATGATGAGCAAGGGTGCTTCTTCCAGCATTGTAAATTTCAAGGCCCATGGGTCCGGGGTAATGTGGGGGGGGGGGGGGGGGGCTCTAATGATTATATATACTGAAAATGAATTAATGCTTTGAAATCTGCTCTTTTGGTATTAATCAAACATTTATTATGAGCAAGGATGCCTTTTCCCAAATTGTGAAATGTGTGACCCCAGGGTCAGGGGTTCCTGTGGGGTGGGACACTACTGATTATATAGTAAAAATGCATTTTTTCTTTGTTCTGCTGCTCTGACTCTGGAAATTAAGTAATCAAACTAAGCATGCTAAGTGTATAGTTATGATGAGCAATGGTGCCTCTTTCAAAATACACCGATCCATTTCTTATGTGTGTTAATTTTGACCAATCAGATTGCTGCATTATTGCGTCATTTGCATCTGCGCTGAGGTCGGACATCAGTCGGACAAAATGGCGTTATATATAATGGTGTTTACGGAGATGTTACACAAAAAGGTGTTTTTAATACGTTGTTTTTTAAAAGTCCTTTATTAACTACTTTACTATGGTGAAGCACTGTTCGTTCGGAACCTGTAAATCCGATAGCAGGTACCCAGATAAGCTGATGGGAGCAAAATTCATTCCATTTCCCAAGCCGAAATCTGATTTCAGAAATGCATGCGATGGACTTCCCTGTGTCGATGACCTCACAATCAGCTTAACGTAGACAAAATTACGAAACATACATATATATGTTCAAAGGTAAATATCATAGAAATTTATATTATACATTGACTAGCTACATATTACGTCAAATGTGTACAATGACATGTGCAGATGTGCACATGTACTCTGCAGTGCAGCACTGTGAGCAGTGATTGATCAATTAGGACTGCATTCAAGTGCATATTGTGTGTCAGATAACCAATCCTTATGCTAAGTTTACGTGATTTTTATTTATCATAACAAGTTTGGAATATTGGTGAATCAATAAATGAATTATCATAATTAACATTATTAAATATGTATACATATTGGAGTAATACAATAATTTTATAGAGAGAGAGAGAGGGATGTATCAGAGAAATGCTGTGATGGAAAGTTGTTTCCTGCCACATTGGAACTTTTTTAGAGATAATTTTTAAAATCATTTTAATTGTTCAATTTCAGCATTTTATTTCAATAGATGGCCCATCTGATGACTATCCAGATCCATGTGATGCACAAGCTGGTGAACTAAGGAGATCAAGACGAAAAATTGTATACATGTCTCACCATTCCAATGAGTTGACTGACTTTTCTACCAGGTTTGAATGTGCATAGTCCATAGAATCCAAATTAATACATTCATAGAAATATGATTTAACAATTTTTGATTTTTAGTAACTCCCAGAAATTAAAAAAAAATTAAAAATGACATTTCAAGTAAATGAATGTATTCAAGAGTGCATGATACTTCTAGGTAATAAAAATGGATTTAAGATCAATTTTAATTTTTTCACCAGTGATAGTTTTGCACCTCCTCCACACAGAAATTCTTCTTAGGTCATGATATTGCCTGTCAAACAGAGGAAGAATGTAAGTCCTTTCCCAAGAAAGTATAAGTCCAGAAATATACAAGACCTGTACAGTCTCTTTTTCAGGCTTGAGTCTATAGTGAAAACAAGGAATATTTCTGATCAGGATAATTTAATGATTCAAATCATTAATGGACACAGACATCAGAATGTATTTTAATGAGATGAACTATCAAGCTGATGCACTATCTAATATACTAAAAAGCATGCTCAAGAAAGAAGTTAGCAAGTTTGTCAAACATGTCTTTCATGAAACTACAATCTTTAGGTATTTTTTCAATAAATAAATCTTTCTTAGTATAGACAACAAATATACAGAAAGATGTACCTGTCACCATTAATTGGCCCTGGATTTGGAAATAATAATCATGATTTTTTTTCAATTGGTAAGAATCACCAGATGCTTGTAGGCAAAAATTTGGTAATTGAACAGCTTCTGAAATAAGACAGTTTCTAGCAGAAAATGGACATTTTATTTCTTAAACTCCAGTTTGTCCATCCAAACAAATTTTACCATCAGGTGAAGCAGCTAGAAATGAAAACGAAGGATTTATAACTAACCCACAGTCGTGAATGTGAATATTTTGATGCTTCTTCATCAGTTTTTGTTTGGCAACATTTTCATGACAATTTCCATAGGAGGTAGCTTCTGAACTGAAAGTTTTCTGATTAAATATATTACAAACAAAACTATCTGTTATATCTTTTTTCTCTTGCATATTTTATGGAATTGGGATGTAGTCACATGCTTATTCCTTTCTGCAAACCAAACCTCATTTGACGACTGATCAACAGTTGATCTTTCGATCTTTATAGCCTCCTCTTGTATTGTGTTGTGAAGTTGATTAAGTTCTTTAAATTTTGTGTTAATTTCAAATGGCATCTCACTGTCCAATGGGAAAACAGTATTTCCACAACTTCCATTTTCAATGGACGGAATGTTCTTGTAGTTTTTCAACTGAAAAAAAAAAAAACAACAACAATAAATGTTTTATTTTAAAATAAATGGTAATTTTTTTAATATTATCTTTGTATGTCCCTGAACCATGATATGTTTAATTTCATATTTCAGTGTTCTTATCCATGAAAATGTTTTCCCTTGCATCAAGAATAAGCAACTCGAAGAAGAAAATGAAAGATGAAGGAAGGAACTCGATTCGAAAGTAAAGGAAGTTGCAGCAGAGGTCTTTCATGTTTCCTGTCAAACAGAAAGAGATACCACTTTTACGCCTGATGATGTATCAAAGTCAAAAATTAAGAACTTATTTGAATTTTATACTGGGTTAACATTTTCAAGATTTGTAATGCTATTGTCTATGAGGAGAAAAGGAACGAAGCTCAAATGGACAGATTTCCTTTGTCACAACAACTGTTCATGTACTTGTGTCGACTTAGAAATGGTTTACATGTTAAAGATCTGGCATTTAGATTCAATGTAAAGGTTCAGACAGTGTCAACAGTTGTAAATGGAGTGGCCAAGTATATGTATTTAAGATTAGGCTCACTAAGCTACTGGCCTCATCGAAATGTCATTATAGATAATATGCCAGAATCATTTAAAATAGAATTTCCAACTTGTTTAGCCATTTTAGATTGTACTGAATTGAAAACAGAGAAGCCATCATCTCTGAAACAACAAAGTCAGTGTTACTCGGACTACAAGTCCTCAAATACATTGAAAGGTCTTGTTGTATGTGACCCTAGGGGTTCAGTTTTATTTGTGTCAGATTTGTATTCTGGAAGTATTTCTGATAATGATATTATTGAACAGTGTGGTTTTTATGAGTTTTTAAGGCACTTGAAAGAAAAAGAATTTATATTGTCTAATGATGCATTAATGGCAGACAAAGGTTTCCTTATTGAAAAGGAATTGACTCTACTAGACCTAAGGTTAAATATACCCCCTTTAGCATCAAGTGCAAAGTCACTTAATTAGTGCAGGAGAAGTGAATCTTACTCGACAAATTGCATCTCATAGGATACATATTGAAAGAGCAATAAATCAAATTAAATGTTTTAAGTTACTGAAGAGAAAAATTCCTGTAAGTATGTTTAAATGTATCAATGCACACTGGTTTATTGCAGCAATACTGACAAATTTTCAAGACACTTAAGTAAAAGTTTTTTTTTTTAAAATCATTCTTGTTTCTTTTTAATTCAAACCTTGATGTTCATATTTACATGTACATGTACTACATGATATGGGATAATGGGAGCAATGACCCCTGCTGTACATTGCCCAGAGGTGTCTTTGTAAGATAGAGTTCCTCCTGTAATAGGTAAGACAGGGGTGTGCCTTCAGCAGCAGGATCAGTCTTCAGTTTTTTTATTTCTTCAAAATCAATGCTTGGAATGCTTAAAATTCAGAAAAGCGTCCGAAAGTGGGTTAATCATACTGGTATACACAGGAATATACATATATAGAGAGAGACAGAGAAAGAAGAAGTATGATGATGAAGTAGTTTATAGTAGTACCTCATCTTGGGCATGGTGCTATGGACTGGTCTCTTTTTACATGGTTTTTGTTTTGGTTTGGCAAATACCATAGCTGTAACAGGTTCAGGAACTATCTTGGGACCTCTAGGTTTGTGCCATTGCTGTGGCATACTAGTGCATGCCAGTGCAGATGGCACTTCTGTCAAGCCCATGTTTTTGTAATGTACAATTGTGTACAGCACACCAACTGCATGGGAACAAGTACCACTTATCCTGAAGTAAGAAAAAATATATACAATAGTACTTTGTAAGCATGTGTTATTTAAATCTCAAACTCTACATGCTCATGCGTCTTTATTTAAACTAATTATGGGGGTGGGGCACTTAAAAAAATTCTTTGTGAACAAGGTGGACATATGCAATTATCATTTTAATATATAAAAATAATATGGGTTCAAAAGATGGAAAGGCTCTACCATACCGTGAAAAAATTATGGAAGAAATATATGAAAATATTCATACAAAATTTACAGCAAAAGCCTTCCCTACCCCCATGGCGTGTCTGTGATACATAAAACGTTTATTGTATTGATTTTCATTTCTTATTCTTAATTTTATCTCAAGTAAATCAATTATTTAATGTACATACCCAGCCTTACAGGAGCAATAACTCTCCATTATTGTCGAAGTTGTCATAGTAATCGTCATGTTTATCTTGTGCGGGGGTTCACTTTTACACATTGAGCGGTAGCATTTTGTGGATAAATCTATTGATTGGTCATTGGATGTGAAAAGTTTTAATGCATGTATATATCCATTGATGAAGAAATTATAACCTCTCTCTTTTGCACGTTTTGACAAAACAGCATTTCTAAAATAATCAAAAGAAATGTCCGATGGAATGGAATCTAAATTGATTTCACCCGCCATGTTTACTATGGAATGTCCAACCCAGAAGCATAGCTAAGACGTCACTAAGGTAGGCGGGGCTTATCGATGCAAAATGGATCGGTGTATTGTGAATTTCATGGCTTCTGGTTTGAAAAACGAACCAAATTCAATTGTTGGAAAGTTGTTACATGATGCTCAGGTGATCTTTAAGGCCCGTGGGCCTCTTGTTTTATTTTGCTGCCTTATGTAAATTCAAGAATACTATTAATCACTGTCGTGTATCCGCGCCGGGTAGTGACTTGTTTGTGTGAAGTGAAAATGGAGGATTCGCTCAACCGCTTCGAATCGTCGAATGATTTTTGTGTTAAAAATGGGCATTTGGTGTGTAATTTTACAACTAAAAGACAGCTTATGTCTATAAGCAATTATTTATCCTGTAACTCTGTCATAAATCCTGGAATTTAATGTAAAGAAACAGTTCCAGTTGGAGACATGCTAGAACACCGTAACACCGTGGATGACAATACTTACAAAACCATGTATGGTTTGGATTAACTTGTATTATTATTGTATTATAACTTGGATTGACTTACGGTTTGGATGAGATTGACCACCTATAATGTTCTTTGTTTTTTTTTTCTTTTTAAGAAGTACTTAAAATCATGGTATACATGGTCAGTATTACAATGTGGGTCGAACACCAATAGACTTATTTTTCCTAGCGATGAATTGGACGCCATTTGTTCCTGATAAATTGTGCGAGAGAGAAATATATTTCAGACACTAAAAAACGAACAATTATGTCCGTAAGTTGTGTATCCAACAAACTTTTAGAACATGCACGTAGTTTCGTTTTTTTTGAAATGGATGGGGGGGGGGGGGGCAGAGAAAATTATATGACAACTTACTTGAAAAAATCTTTAACAAGCAAAAAAAAAAGGGGGGGGGGGTAAATTATCAAAAATTCTATTTCATAGAAAGGGGTGGAGGCGTTTTTTCAAACAAATTTCATTAATACACTATACCAAAGGATGATTTGGGTATAATGCAACCTAAAAGTGGGGGGGGGGGGGGGGAAGGGGCTTTCAATGATTTTCAATAGTAAAAGGTTATATTTGGGAAAAAATGAGTGGAGGGCAGTCCCTCCGATACTACATGTCTGTAGGTAGTATCTTTTCTTCAACTACACTTTATCCTTAAGGATACTATCACATTTTCTGTGCATTATTTAGTAAAGTATTGTTTTTTTACATGCAGTCATTTGAAGATGTAATAAAAATAAAATAAAAGTATGAATGTAAAATATTTTTTCATGATTTCACATAAAGAAATGCACATGTAATATGTAACTTGCAGTACATGTATAGAATTTATTAATGATGGCAACGGTTAATAGACTAATTGGTTAGAAAGATGGTAACCTGTTATGATTTTCATATATATTTTTCAAATATGACTGTCAAAACAAGTCCCATTTATTTAGTCATTATAATCCAATTATTAATCAAAAGTAACAAATTAACCCGTCATAAAAAATTTGACCTATATTTTCTGTTTCAATAGATGAGTTTAAAACAACAACTAATTTTCTACTAAGCAATGGTTTACATGGTATTTATTTAATTAATCTAGTTTGTTGTCTCTCATGGTAGCTTAATTAGTGGTAGGATGTTTAATTTGTGATCTGGAAGTACCGGTGTCATATAATATATTGAACCCTGCGATATTTTGAACCCGGGTTCAAAATATCGCTGCGAAATATTGAACCTCCTATAAATATTGATCCCAGGGTTCAAAATATTACGGCCATAATATTTTGAACCCCGGGATCAATATATTATAGCCTTATGGCCATAATATTTTGAACCCCGGGTTCAATATATTATAGCCTTGTCGCCATAATATTTTGAACCACGGGTTTATTATAATTTATAGCCTTATGGCCATAATATTTTGAACCCCATTACAGGCATTCTCTGTTTAAAGCATAGGGGTTCCTAAGATTATGGCATTGAAATGTTGTACCTCCTAATTATAATTTTTTTTGGTAGGTTGGGGTGGAGGTTTAAGATAGGATTTATGGATGTAAAATGTTGTACCCCTATTAGACATATATGTGTATAGGAGGTTGTTTAAAAATTATTGACCTAAAAATAATTTTTGAATGGTAAGAGGGGGGTTCAAGATATATGGCAGTGAAATGTTCAACCCCACAACATTTTATAAGGGGTAGAAAATATTATGGCTGAGAAGTATTGAACCTCCATCTAAAGACTACTATGGAAAAGGAAGTGAAAGTATCTAACACCTGTCTCACACACACTCACTTTGATTTAATTGTTAGATCTCGAGGGTTAATTGGGTATCTTTATATTCAAATTGATTATTGTATTTCTTTTTTTTTTATATCTGTGCAATACCTAATGAATAATCAAAATATTGAAGTCTGAAATTGCCACCAGGAAATTAAAAATAATTGTCTTTTACCATCAAACCCCAAATATTCTACATCAAATAACTAAAATAACTTGATATGTCTGATGGAAAAATAATTACGAAATATTTATTTGTTTGTCTTTTAATTATCTCATCCCATAAGGTATTTATTTTTTTTATTTTATTATTATTATTATTATTATTTTTTTTTTTTTTGGTATAATTTACAATTTGAAAAAAGAAAATTCAAGGAGCAATGTAGTATCTCTCCATTGAGGAGGTAACAGGGATATAGCACCTGTGTGTGTACACAGGGAGGTGTCATTGGAGGTCAGCAATACCCACTGTCTATTAATGTTTCCCCTTGGTTGTTTCTATATTATTCAATACAGTGTTTAGAGAATGTGCAAATTGGGTAGCCCAGTTTGAGGGGTGTTTAGCTTACATACATCATTCTGGTGTTAAAATTGAGCCCAAAGCAAATGCAATCATTTACAACATCATCTTCAAGAGGAGATGGATCAGGTCTCTGAGTACACAGATCTGGTTAATTTCCTCTGTAGTCCACCAGACAGACGAGAATGGCCTGTCAACACAAAGGGCTATAGATTCAATAGTTCATCCCATAGAGTGTAACTGGAATATTTGGTGTTTTATGAAGGGAGAGAGCAACATTAAACGGAAATGAATACCTAAGGAAGTCTAATTGGGGTGCAATATTTACCAGCCATATTATTTTGAACCCATCTTTTTGACCACTGAAGTAAAAAAAGGGGAGGGGGTGTCAGAATTCTGCAACCATAAAATCTTGAACCCCCACCCACCTAATGAAAAATTAAAATGTAAGAGGGAAGGTCAATATTTTGAAGCCATTGTATCTTGAAAACAGTTTCCATGAACCTTTAAGTGGGGTCAATATTTTACAGCCATGAAATTTAAAACCCAACTCCTCAAAAGTGTAACAGAAATTCAATATTTTTGCAGTATCATAATTACTTGAAATTATTACACTCCCCATGAAAAAAAAAACACACAATATTTTATGATAATGTCTTGAACCCCTTCTCTTTACTGTTCAATCGATATACCCCAACCCCATAATTAACCTTTAGGATGAGGTTGTTTTTAACAGCCATATTATTGAACCCCGGGGCCCTCCCTTTCTAAACAAGCATAATACCATGCTACTTTAAAACTCCCTCTTCCTGACCACTAAATTGTAATGGGGGACAATACTTTGCAACTATAATATTTTGAATGGCCCCCTCTTAAATTAAAATTTTTGGGGAAATATTTTATGGTCATAATATATTGAACCCCTCTTTCAACTGAAGAAGACTACATGTAGACACCACTTGT